CTGGAAACATCTCAGTGAGCGCTCTATCAATGGTTGGAGACAGGTTTTCACCATCAGCTACAGTGTGCAATGCCTTCCTCCTCCAATGGCATTACTAATTGCGCATATGCTACCTCTTGATATTTTTTTAATTAAATAATCATTTTATTAGGGGCTCATGCAACTCATCACAATCTGTACATACGTCATTTGTGTCCAGCACATTAGTACACATGTTGACTTCATCATTCTCACAACACCCGCTTTCCACCTGAGCCCTTGGTGTCAGCTCATTTTGCTTCCTCCCTCCCCCCTCCCCCCTCCCCCTGAATCCTTATTTATTAATTATTATTATTTTATCATGTCTTACCCCATCCAACGTCTCCCTCACCCACTTCTCCACTCTCCGTCCCCCAGGGAGGAGGCCATATGCAGACCTTGTCATCTGTTCCCCCTTTCTCCCTCACCCTCCCTCCACCCTCCCGCTATAGCCACTCTCTCAACCAAATTTGTTTTGTGGCACAAGTCCTCTTTTTCCTTTCATACTCTAATTAATCTTCCTGTGTCATTCCATTTTTGTCCATATAATCCTTCAGCGTAGGAACTCAGGCTCCACTTTATCTCCAGGTTGTTTTTTTTTCAGTTTGAGAAACACCACACATGTTCGTTCTTTTTTGTTTTGTTTTGATAGCACATTTCATTATAATACTTCAGTATCTTCTCAAGCTGCCCTGTGAAATCTGTGTAGCACTATTCCTTAATCAACTGTTCCAATTACTTTAGCGATTCTATTTTACAGAAGCAAGTTACAGTCTCTTCTAACAGCTACCTGGGTCTTTCCTTTTTATGACGTTTTGCTTTCTTCATACACGATATCCTTGACATTATCCCCAAACCTGTTTGGTCTTCCAACATTAGTGTTCAATACGTGGAATACGTTTTTGAGTTGGGCTCCAGATCCAGATGAGAAATACCCAAGTTTTTACTTTCAGTCTTGTGGACTTGCTTTAATTTTTTAAGCTTCAAATTGAACTTTCAGGTGAACAATTGCTGATGTTGACCCCTGGCCTTGATATGACTGTTAATATTGAACTACACCATCAACTCTTATAATTCCATTTGGAGAGGATAACATGTATGATAGTCCGTTTGTAGTTGAAGAAAATAGTTTCTACTGAATAAGCTGTTGGTATTGAAAACCTATATAACTCCGCCTCTGGTATTCTGTATTTCACAGGCATCATAGTTTAAAACTACTGATCCTTCTATGTATCCTACTTTCAAATTCTAATGATTCATTTCGATGTGTCTTATTTGCATGTCTGTTCAATTTCAAAGCACAGAAGTTGGTCTAAAGATTCAATTTCTTCATCCTTGGCATTATTCACTGGTGCTTAAGTTTACACAATAGTCATAATAACTGATAATATTTCTTGTAGGTTTATGAATACTATTGATGAACATGTTATATTTCAGTATGGGCTTTGAAATGTTCTAAACACAAATAGGCAAGAGATGCCTTCTCAAGAAAGAGTCAGCCTGAATAATTGGGAGCGAGTACAGTTTTGTAAACCTTCATTTTGTTGCATGGAATGACTGAAAGCGTGAAAAACAGCTGAAAATACCCATTATTATACTGCTGCATAATTATGAGTACATATGAGTATGCACACTTATTAAAATATAGTAATAATTGTGAATATGGTACAGGATCAGTCAGTATTTTCTGATCAACATATATATAAGGGTAAGACAAATGTATAGCTAAAATGTCATAGAAATTTTTATAAAATTATAATACAAGCAGCCAAACTAGGAAACCTTGGTATCACAGTGAGTAAGAAATGAGCTGCTAACTTTCAGATAAGAGGTTTCAACCAACCAGCCACTCCACAGGAGAAAAAGAGACTGCTTCTAGAAGTATCAACATAAAGACTTACACTCTCAGAAACCCCAAGAAGGACCACATGACCCAATGGGTTTGGTGTGTTTTATGGCTTCTCACTATCCCCTCCATTTGGTTCCATTTACCTATCGAGGCGGCTTGTCCCTCTTTCTAACCCATTGCCTAAAGTTTTGCCCTCATTAACTTATGTCATGTCCATAAAACACTTGTGGAATATTTGATGGACTCAAATTGGGGGACTTAAAAAAAGTTTAGTTTCTGGAGCAAAAAGAAGTTAGCAGGGAAAAAATCAGAATTATAAGGTAGATAGAATTTCTAGTAAAACTATTATGTCAGTACTTGCTATAATCAAATGATGAGCAGATCCATTGTTGCAAGGCAAAAAATTAAATTTATTAGGGCAAATTTTCTGGAAATTTTCTTGCAAATACAATTTCCAATTTTCTTAACATTTTTAAGTAAGTCCCCATGATCTTTTCTGTCATTTTTTGTCATATATTTAAAAATTATTACTAGATATTACTCTCTTTAAAAAAAGCCAATTACAGAGGGGATTTAATACATATTTCTTATCATCCCAAATCTCAATCACATCAAGTAGAATGTAAATTGCTACCAGAAAACCTATCAAGAATGCCCTTTGGAATCCCACAAACGAGTGGCTGTAACTGCTTTGAATTCCTTTGGACCAGCAGCTTCTAATCAGAACCAGTGTTGTGATTGGGCATTTTAAAATTAAGGCACAACTGGCTTTGCTCAGAGAACTTCTCTGCAGTCATCCATTGTTTGAAGAGATAGGTTTTATTTGGAATAAACTCAAGAATGGACTGGAACACCAGCAGTCATGCCTTCTGACTTACTCTCCCGTGAAGTCATCATGATGCAGATTAGATGCTCCAGCAACTACAACGCAAAGCAGTAGATTGTGGTTTCCAGTACCGCTATAGGAGAGAGTGTATCTGCCCAAAGTGTTCTCGGGACACCAATAGCAAGAGAAGCCGCGTATCACAACTGTCTCCAGTGGAGCAAGCGTTATTGTTGTTGTTAAGTGCCAGCAAGTTGGACCCACATTTTCAGCAATTGATTCAATTCTTTCTGTTTGAGACACCCTGAGCGTGTTCTTCCTTACGACTTTCTTTTCCAGATCTTTGCACATGGAGGGGATAGTGCGTTTAAATTGCTAACCTTTTGATAATCAGTTTAGTGGTTTACTACTGAGTCAGATACCATCAAAATGCTGTACTACACATCAACTTGGAACTGTGAATGTACATGACTATAGTAAAACTATCCATAATGTCTTATCAGTGTGCAAAATACAAGAGACATCAATGACCACTTTCATTTGCCTGAAACTTTTTCATGTTTTACAGGTGGTAACTGAAATTTATAAGGAAGTTCATAACTGAAATCTTGCACGGAAATACTATGAAAGAAAATTTAAAATTTGAAATGATTTTAGTACTTTTTGTTAAATTATAACTTATCTAAAATGGTCATGTTTCTTTTGAGCCCTTTAGCTTAAAAGTCACTATTTTAAAATTAACATAGTTGTATTATTTAAAAATATTTCCTTATGAAATGGATAAATAAAGGAAATGATAAATGACTCAACCCCACTGTGGTTGTTACATAATCTGTTGTCAATTTGAGAAGTAAGAGTCGAAGGGTAGAATTTAGCCTGCCAATCAGCTTGATGACCTCATTCGGAGGCGCTAAGGGGATAACTAACATGTTGGAGGCGGGATACATGCTCTCTCCCAAGGAGATATTCCTGTTGACGAGACATATGGAGCTACACTAGAGTCCTAGAGCTGGAGGGGCCACCTGGAGAGCCCTGCCAGCTTTGAGGTGCTTACACTGTTACTGGATCCACAAGACTTTCCACCCACTGGCATGTGATCTTCCTGCATTCGGCGTCATTGCTTGTGTTTCATGATTGTGAAGAGGACTTTATAAATTGGTATCTAACATATGGGCTAATATCAGACTTATAGACTTGATCTGGACTCGGCTGGGATGTTTTCTCAATATTCAATTGCTCTCGTATATAAACTATTTCTTATATACATGAGTGCCTTTGAATTTGTTTCTCTAGTCAACCCAGACTAACACATCCATAAAGTTAATTCTGACTCCTAACGATGCTATGGGACAGAGCAGAATAGCCCTGTGCACATTCAAGGCTGTAAATATTAAAAAACCTCCTATCTCTGGTTCAGTGGCAGCCAAGTTTGTGTCTTATGGTTAGCAACCCACCCCACTCTACCATCAGGGTTCCAGTAAAATAAACAAAGGGGAAATATTTTCTTTATCTAAGTAATAGAGAATAGAACTTTGTTTTTCTACACAATATCTTGGTAGAATCTGGTTTGTATTATATTATTCTCTTTGACATTAAATATCTATTACATAATACATATGTCAGCCTTAACAATGAGCATTAGGAAAGAGTTCCTGTATTAGATTTTCCCTGTAAATTATTTTATATATCTGAGGTTGTTTATCAAATACAATAAAGATATTGCACTACCCACATCTATGTGAAACTACAGATGTACATGAATATATAAAAATACTTATAATTTCTTATTAGTCAACAAAAAAATAAGACACACCAATGTCCATTTTTTTTAACTAAAGACTTTTTCTTGTGTTACACGTCATAATTGAAATTTACAAGGAAAATTTTGTTTTTTTTAACAAGGAAATTTATAACTGAAAACCTACAAGGAAATAATGTTTTCAATATTGCCCATTTATTCCATTGATTTCTCAGGGAAAAAATTACCTATTTGCATGCTGTTAAATTTCATTGTCTGTAAAGAATGAGATACTTTCATAGAAGTAATATATGAAGTTAATGTGTATTATATTCATCCCTTATATTTCACTTCTATAGCCATCATTTAAGAGCCAACATATAAATAATAATTTACAATATATTTTGTTTTTTCCCTCTGGATATAGAGTTTGAAAAGATAGGATCAGTGTTTTAGTATACTCCTATTTGTACAAGGTGCATGTGTGTATAGATTTCATTATATTTTCAAAATATGATTCTACTTAACAGAAGCACGGAATAAAACTGAAAAGGAATTATTTTAATACTTGCCTGAAATCCAAGTAGCTTTTCACTAGGCTTAATATGTCTCTGAAATTCACATTCGATGGGCTGTATCACTTTGATTCCATCTTCATAAAAAACATAGAACATGTTCCCAATTCCCAGACCTTAAGGATAAAAACACATTCAAAAGTTCAGAAACCTTTATTACCAAATCTCACTTGCCCACATATCACTGTCAGGATATCAATCTGGGAAGTCATGTAATGTTAATAAGGAAACGATATGGGATCTTTTACTGTACATTTAAATCACTCTGTGATATTACTCGGACATTCTACCTTTTTTCTATCTTATCTGCAATTCACTACTTTGTTCAATGTAAATCTGTAATTTTTCACACATTTAAAAATAACTTTAAATGACAGTATAAACATCCTGGTACACAGCTTGTGTAAGATACCTACTCGATTTCATTCAAATGCTCATTAAGAAATGCTTATTTATATTTTCTTATGAAAAATGAAATTTTATCCTATACTCCTATAGAGATTTACAGTCTTGGAAATCCAGAGGGGCCCTTCTAAGCTGTCCAATAGGGTGCATATGAATTGGAATTAACTATGAAAGTGAGTTTGCTTTCTTGGGGAAGAGTTTATAAGTATGCTATATATGTCTATATAAAGACTTATATGTGTATATATAAATACATACATGTGTATACATAAACACACATGCAGTAAGATATATAACTGTATATATCTTATATATAACTATATATAACTTTCAAATATATGAAAAATAATTCTGTGATAGCATGTGCTATTTGAAAGATAAGCAATAGTACTGAACTCTTGATAGTTTGGGAAGTCAAATCATTCCTGCTAAAATATTGAAAGTAATTATGCATATGTATGTGTGTCTGTAGATATACTGAAATACCAACAAAAATTATAGATTACTTTAAAAAATCATTTTATTGGGAGTTCATACAGCTCTTATCACAATCCATAGATCCGTGCACTGTGTCAAGCACATTTGTAGATATGTTGCCATCATCATTTTCAAAACATTTTCTTTCTACTTGAGTCCTTGGTAACAGCTCAGTTTCCCCCTCCTACACCCTCCCTCCCTCATGACCCTTTGATAATTTATTTTAAAAAATGTTCATGTCTTACACTGACTGCTGTCTCCCTTCACCCATTTTTCTGTTGTCTGTCCCCCTGAGAGGGGGTTATATGTAGATCATTGTGATCGGTTCCCTCTTTGTCCCCCGACCTTCCCCACTCATTATTGGTCCAGAGGGGTTTATCTGCCCTGGATTCCCTGAGTTTTGAGCTCTATTCTGTACCACTGTACATTCTCTGGTCTAGCCAGATTTGTAAGGAAGAAGTGGAGTAATGATAGCGGTGGGTAGGAAGCATTAAAGAACTAGAGAAAAGCTATATGTTTTATAGGTGCTATACTGCACCCCTTCTGTGAGGGGATTTCCAATTGTCTACAGATGGGCTTTGAGTCTCCACACCACTCTCCCACTCAGCCACATTGATATGCTTTCCTGTTCTGGGTCTTTAGTGCCTGATACCTGATCCCATGGACACCTCAGGATCACACAGGCTGCTGTACTTCTTCCATGAGGCCTTTTTGCTTCTCAGGTAGATGGCTGTTTGTTTATCTGCAAGGCTTTAAGATCCCAGATGTGATGTATTTTGATAGCCAGGCACTATCCGCTTTCCTCACCACCTTTGCGTATGTACCCGCTTTGTCTTCAACGATCGTGTGGGGAAGGTGAGCATCACAGAAAGCCAGGTTATTACAACAAAGTGTTCTTGTGTTGAGGGAGTACTTAAGTAGAGACCCAGTGTCTGTCTGCTACTTTAATACTTAGCATATAAATATATGTACATAAATTACTTTTTTTAAGTACACGGATTACTATAAAATAGGACATATTTTGTATTTTGTCAAGTGAGGCTCAGAGTAGGATCTTACTGATTTGCAGAAGTACATGTTTATTAAACGTAACTCATGAAAACCAACTGCCACCGAGTCCATCCTGACGCGCAGCCGCTCCCTGTGGGTTTGCAAGACTGGAACTGTGAAGAAGGGTAAAAAGCCCAGTCTCTCTAGCAGAGGTGTGGGTAGTTTCAAACAGCCGACCATGCAGATCACAGCCCAACGTATAACCACTGAAAATGAGATGAAACATATTTCTAGTACATAGAAGGAGCCCTGGTAGTGTAATGGTTACAAGGTGGGCTGCTAGCCTCAAGGTCAGCAGTTTGAAACCAACAGCCTCCATTGGAAAAAGACAAGGTTTCCTGTGCCAGTAAGGAGCTACAGTCTTAGGAACACTCAGGGTCAGTTTCACCTTGTCCTGCTAGGTCGAAATCTTTGCAATGATTGAAGTTACATGTGCAGCAGTGAAAGGTGATTTTGATGAAGAACTTATTTCAAGCAGGGAGATGGCCAGTCTTTTCCAAACGAGGTCATATATGCGTAACATTAAGGCATGATATTGCCAATATGTTTTAAATTACTCTAGGCTGTTTTCAGACATTTTACTTTATAAATATTTTACAGGTCTAACATGTCTTAGATATAATCTTGATCAGTTACTTATGCATTATAATATCAGAAAACACTATGTTAATACGATATTCTTCTATATTAGAAATGGCAAGATATAAATGCAAGTCACATTTTTACTAAAATAAAATTTATTAATTGTGAAATGTTCTTTATATGATAATTCTTCATAGCTGAATATAAATTCCATGCCCAAAGGGGAAAGCTTACAAAATGTGCTTTTTGAAAAAAAAAAATTGATTCATACCAGCAAACTCACTATGTACACATTAGCATAAGATTGATGTGGGCTATATATCAATATCGATTTAATGGTACTAGTTATTGGATATTGCTGTTGAAACTTATGAACATAGTCTGATCTGAATACTGAGAAGGATATCCAGTTGTGTCAGTTGCATCCTATGTTTGAAGTTTATCACAAAGCTCTTGATATTTGTAAATGGGCATGTGCTCTCTCTTAACTGTCCTACAAGTTGGTTCAACAGTCATGAATTTCAATGTGGATCTGGTAACAACTCTGATTCCAGAATATGGAAGACATCTCTTGACACATTTCCTCCTCTTGACTCAATGGACACTAGGATTTCATCATTCTACCACGTTTTTAACCCAGTGCAAAAGTCAGTGTGATTCCACTGCCATTGTTTGCACTGATGAAATTTCCGAGCCTTAGTCTTTTTTGAAAACCACTTACTCTGTCCAAATCACTCTTTCATATCTGAGCATCTGTTTTCTTACTTTTAAAACTAGAACTTACTTTTCAGCATGCTTTCAAAAGCATAAACTACTTCCAGTGTATAAATTATGGAACAAATACATATCATTATACAAAATAAGTCTTGGTAACAAAATGGGTAAACACTTGGCTGCTAATCAAAAGGTAAGCAATTCAAACTTCTTCAGCTACTCCATGGGGTTACAATCTGATGATATGCATCTGTAAAGCGTATAGCACACGATAGGCTATGGGGCAGTTCCACTTTGGCACATGGGATCAGTATGAGTCAGAATCAACGTGATGACACCTAATGAAATTGACAAGGCACGATTTGGGGTTTTTTGTGCTTGACTTGTTGTTTAGTGGTAGCAACCCCTCAGTAGTTACGAAACATTAGTATCAATAAATAATGTTTATGAAAACATGTCAAGTAGAATAATCGTTGAAAAATGAACCCTCATGTTTCTATTGCTCTTCCTATAATTTTTATAGGAAGATACAATAAAATAAAACTCTTCCTATAGTTTTAAAGTTCTTCAACTCTGGCAAAAATAAATATCTTGTCAATTTTTTGCTATGGGGTTGTGGTATTAAGTTATTTAATATGCCATTTATAGATAAAGTTCTCCAATTGGTGGTGTATCATAAGTCCTAGCCTCTATGCAACCACTTCTGTGTCAATCTGTAGTCATATCAGTTACTTGTGGCTACCATGATGCTGTATGGCTGTAAGCTAGTCCACTGATATTTCACATGCCAGCAGAGTCATCCACGATGAACAGCTGTCAGCAGGGCTTACAGACTAAGAACAGATGAGGAATAAGGACTACTAGGCTGTACACTGCTGAGAAATTATCCATGGAAAAACAGGCGAAGCATCATTTCATTAAGTGAGATAGTATCAGAAGATGAGCCCCTCAGTCTGAATGCTAATCCAAATATGATTGAAGAAGAGCCAGAGAGCTGCCTCCTTCATGGTGCAGATGAAGAAAAACTTACAGAAATTTCACTTAATGATGGAGGATGAGTCAATGTGGGAAAAAACAGTTATAAGGAACCATTAACGATCAGAATACAGAACATATGGAAGTATGAATCTAGAATAACTTAAAATAATAAAAAATAAGAGTAAATGTGTAAAGATTAATATTCTAAGCATTGGTGACCTGAAATGGATTGATACTGGCCATTTTTCATTGCATAATCATATAGTTTACTATTTCAGAAAGTATACATTCTAGAGAACTGGTGTCATGTTTATCATCAACATGATCATTTAAAAAAAAATCTTGAAGTAAAATGCTGTGATAGGATAATATCTACAACTCTATCAGTAAGATCATTTAATATAAAACTAAATCCAAATATACCCCAAACTCTAAATCTGGAGATGGAAAACTTGAAGACTTTTACCAACTATTTGGTATGAAATTAACCAAACAAGCCTGATGCTTACTTGCTATTGAGACGTGAACATTTGTAACAAAAAGACAGGTTCAGTCATTGGAAAGTATGGCCCTGTCGATAGAAGCACACCAGACAGAATTTCCCAAGACCGGCGACATCTTCAGCGCAGGGATCTTTTCCCAACAACATTAACGGCTTCTGTACCCAGAGGCCATGCAGGGGACAGATGACTTTGCTGTACCCCAACTGAATGTAGAGACGAGTTCAAGGAGAGTTTTGATGCAGTGAACACGGAAGACAGAAAACGCGGCGAGCTGCGAGATGACACCCGGAACATCCTGCACGAAGAAATCCAAGCGATCTTTACAAATTGAGAAAAACAGAAAACACCCAAGTGGATATCAGAGGAGATTCTGAAACTTGGACTTGAGCATGGATGACCAACAGTGA